CAATACTAGCCTATGTGGATGATGTTGTCATTATTAGTAATAACATGAGAGCTCTACAAAATATAATGGATACTTTTTGCTCATTCCCATTTCTGAATTCAATCAAATACAACAAAAGCAAAACAGAACTTATTACAAACCTCAAGCCAAAAAATAATTGAAGAAAACAATAACTTCTTGTTAAAGATATATCAGTGCATCCCATGCTATATAATGGCTCAATCAGATATCTCGGCATTTACCTTTCCAGAAAGTTCTCCTCTCTTGCAACAAAAAATTTTCTTAAATAAAAAGTCTCAAATTTCACCAAAGCAATTGCTAACCAAAAAGAATAAAATGGTTTAATCACAAGACAAGCTTCCCACTGGATAATATCAGCCCAAGTAGACTATACAATTCAGGTAACCATACCCAATGACAGTGACATCAAGAAAATGTAAGCAAAGTTTAACACAGTCATCAAAAGCAAATTGGAAATTGAGAAAACCATTTTGAACAAAATCCTACATGTACAAGCAGGCCTAAATATAATAAAGTTACAAGACAGAGTTTACATAATAGCAGTAAAACTCTGAATTTCAAGACTTGCTAATAAAAAAACTCATACTTCTCTCATCGAGGAAATCAAGTCTCTCCAAACAGCACATGTTATATGGACATGTCCAATCTGTAATCCATACTATTTCAGAGAATGCTAGCTAACACTGATAGCACAAATAGTCAAAAATATCAAATTAACATCTGCCCTCACTTGTGCCTATTCAAAATTCCAGACTATAACTTGTCTATTGGATTTACAACTAGTATTGATAAATCCACAGCACTTTCTCTCTTCTATACAAACATTAAAACTATCAAAGACACCTATATATACAACAGTAACAGCATACTCTTATGGAATAAGCTTTACACTCACAGAGAATATATATCTACAGGCCCTATTCCAAATTAGTTCAATAATATACCACTAACAAACCAGGCAATTATTGAAAATTCATTTCCAATATCCAATTAAAAACCCCAATTCCAAGTCTGTATTAATAACGAAACAATCAACCTGATCAAAACCAGAAGAAATGCAACTTAACAACAAACAGTCAAAGGACAACATTACCAAGTCCTATCCAACAAAAACATCCAATAGTGTTCCTGCAGTACACAATCCTATATTATAGAAAAAGATATCATTAATATCAAATCAATATGAACAATAATACGTAACAACTACTTGTTTTTTTTGAACAATATCGAAGAATTATTCTTTCTTTTCTCCACATCCTCATGCTCTCTGTCCCATATTACAATAACCAAACCTCCTATAACCTTACCATCACCCATAACAATCAATATTTTTTTTCTCAAGGAAAAAATTATCATCCAAAAATCCAATGCAAATATACTTTACAAACCTAATGCCAATTCATAGGCAGAATTCTGGCCTGTTCTTCTAAAGACTATACAAGAAACCCCACTGATTCAATAATCAAGTGCCAACTTCAGATCCAACCAAATCTAAAAATACCAGAATATACCAATTGCCAAATTAAAATGCCATATAGCAAATACATTAGAATAATAAACTTTTAATGGAACAACAAAAACATAACACTTGAATAGATCACAAAAAAAGAGCACAAGAGCCTTTTATCTCCAGATCCTAGTAACAGTTTTCCAATTTCACAAATATTTTCAGAAATATATGACATTTCACCTCTAATTAATCACATACAGTATATTCCACTAACATTATACACTGAATAAAATTTGTTAACTACTACACTAACTTTTTTAATATTCTTCTAAGTCATTTAGCAATTTACAAGACCATTTCAAGATTTATACTAGAACTTATCTACAGTGCTAACAAAAAACTTAGGAAAAGTGATCAATTGAAATTTAGAAGTTTGTTAGTGTTTAGAACTAAACTTATTGCAAATTAGCTACTCACAAGAGTCAAACTATTCAAAAAATACTCAAGTCTATATGAAAGCAATTTCTGTCCATGATGCAAAGCATATCCAGAGAATCAAGTGCACATCTTTTTATACATTCATGCCCAACAGACAATCGAAAAGAAAAAAGAAAAACTCATAGATTTCTTAAACAAAAGCTCACACCAAGCAAATACCAAAAACAGACCTCTATTAACATTTGTATCAATATCAATACTGGATATAATGAATCTCACACTTGGAAACTTACAACCATCCTTAGACAAAATACAAAACAATAAAGGTGACATGTCAAATAAGACACTTAAAATTTTTTACAAAGTTTGGAAAGAGAGATCAGTGACAGCCACCACATCACTGACCTCAGAAGTCAAATAGAAAAAATTTGCAGTCACAGAATTCAATTATAATATCAAAAATAATAATATGACCTTTTATAAAATACTTAATACATTAGCAACTAACAATAACTTAATTGACAAAATTATTTTTACTCCTACAATTGTATTATTGTTTTGAATAAGCATTAGCCATTCAACACTGTTAGCATGTACCCATTTACTTGGTGTAAGCTAATGTTAATATAAAAGTTGCAATAGGCTAAAATTAACTTATTCATGTAAAGATCTTTAATGTAATGACTATAAACTCTCGTTTAATAAAAGTCTTGTATTTAATATTTATTTGTGATTTAAAAAATAATAATAAATAATAATAACTTGTAAATATTGTATTATATCAAGTTATTTATTGTTAATAATTTATTATATATGAATTTAATTTTAAATATTTTGTTTCTTATTTGTTTAAAAAATATAATTAATAATTTTTTGACATTATAATATTGCCAAAAATCTTTTTAATTAATAATATTTCAGTTATCTGTTTTTTTGCTCATCTTTGTTATATTTTATTAAAAAATATCTACTATATTAAAGTTTTCTTCTTGTTATAATTTTTAACAAATACTTTTACTAAAATGTCAATTAAAATATTATTTAATATAAATACTGTTAGTATAAAAATTATAATAGGTGTCATGACATGTAAGGTCTGATGTGATATTGCATAGAGTAAAAATATTATTAATATCAATGATTATATTAAAATAGATTATTTATTTGAAAATTTAAATATTACAAATAAAAATATAATTAATTCTATTCAATAAGAGAAACAAATCAGATATAAGGATCAAATATATTAATACTCTTTTAAATTTTATAAAAAAGATTTTAAATTAGATTTGAATAATTGTTATATAGATATTTTTAATTCAATGTAACAAAATATTTTTTACAAATTTATAAACCTTTACTTTTTTTTATTTTAGATTAAATTATTATTATATTATATTATATATACTTATTTATACTAATTAAATAGACAAAAAATTATTATATATAAATTATAAACATATAAAAATTCATAAAAACAATTGATTTTTATAATTTTGTTGTAATATTATTTTCTAAAATCATTTAACTTTACTATCTAATTAACTTTATTCAATTAAGCAAATACTGTATATTTCTAATAACAAATTTTACAATTCAATAAATCTTTTCTAAATTTAAATAAAATTTTATCATTTAATTTAATAATACGTATTTATTTAAAATTATATATTATAACATGATAACTTAATTAAAATTTTTAAAAAAATATGTTATAAATAGTATTCATTATAAAAAACAAGTTTTCTTAATATATTAAGGTCAATTTACATAATAAAATAAAAACTTTTATAAGAAATTACAATTGAATCTCTATAAATTAATAATTTTGGGACCATAGTGCTTTTTTCAAATTTTATAAAATCAAGAAAATTATTAAAATATAGAGACGAACTATATAGTAATTTTGAAAAATAGGACCAAAGAATTTTATAAGTTTAAAGAGATGATTAATAAATTATTAATTTATAGAGGTTTTACTGTATAATAAATTAATGGTAAAAACTTTGAAATTTTATTTATTGTCAATATAAATTTGAAATTCAATACACAAATAATTCAAAACATAATAAACAATATATATTAATTATAGGTTATTCATTAAGACACTAGTTTTAGAATAATATAAATATTAAAATTTAAATCAAAATCAAAAAATCACTGCATGAAATATAAATCCTAAATGTTATTCATAAAATGTTATTTAAAATTGCATAGTTTTCACTGTAGTGTATATATATTAGTTGTCTAGATCATACTTACTTAATACATAAAACTTATATTGTTATGATGAAACACAGTGAGTTTGTCTCTTCTGTTTTTTCTATGCCATGCTACAATGGAGAATGATTTCTTCTCAAAAGAGACATGTATATTTGGCTCGAGTTTGATAATAATGCAGGTTGATCTGTCGATCTTGCATCATGAATAGTAACCTCCTGCATGGTCCCTTCTTGGTTTGTGACCTTCTCCAAGTGAATAGTCTTTTTAATGTATGTTAACTCCTTCTCTTCTTTTTTTTGTATCATCATTTTACTTTTATACTTTTTATATCTTATGATTTATACAAATTTATACTCATTATCTATACTTGTTATTTACTTTATACTTGATAATTACCTGCTACTATCTGTTATTCTTGCTATATCAGATAGATAACTCAAGATACTAGAATATACTAGAAATACTGGATACCTTGATAGGTCTATCATATTTCTTTTTATATTCTTTTCTCATTTATGTCCATTATTTATATAGTTTATTTTTCACCTTAACAATATGCTTAATAAAATAAAAAGTTTAATATGTGGTAGCTTTTACGTTTAAAAAAATTTTAGATTTTTTCGAAAACCCCGTGTATCAAATTTTCTTTTATTGTATCGAGTAAACCGGAACCAGAAAATTTTTTGATGATCGTGACTACTTTCAATTAGTACTTCGAATATTAACATATAAAGTATAGATTATTTGTACACAGTTTCTTTTATCGAGAGTTAACCGTATAAACATGCAAAGATTGACATAATGGTTAATAGATGATCGGGATTTCGCTTATCCTTGTTGAGTTCTCCTCACAAGGTAAGAAAGAAACCAATATCTTCCCCGAAATCACTATTGCGCATTCCCACTTTTGTTAGTATCCATGCCGTTCCAATAGGATGCGGTTGAGCATTAGGGATTAGAGCTTGGTGGGAAGGAGAATCATAGAAGGAATTTTGAAAAAGGGTGTGATTATTGTCGCGTACAGTATAGAGTTCAGTGACGGTTGCAAAGTGAAAGACACAACGAGAATTCCCATCTCGGTGCCTATTATGAAGATCATTTGTTGCAAAAGCATCCATGACTGATAATAAGCCGACCAACCCTGCTGATTAATCCAAGCTTGATTTGGAGAAATAATAAGGACTGGGTCGAGATTTTTCACCCTACTAAGTTGCTTCTCGTATTTTGTAATTTCTTCGTTGGTGGCTTGCGGGAAAATAGTTTTAAGTGCCTCGTGGGTAGATACGAAACCTTAAATGTCTTCAGACATTCTAAAAATAATGTAGAAAGAGTAAGCTTTTGTTAACTACAATGACCTGATAGCATTATACTTACTCGTTGGATGAAGAAGTGGTGTTTCTTATTGAACAAGGTGTAATTGTTGTGTTAAAAGTATTTAGGCTATATAAAGCGTAAATTTGATTTATAGATATATTTTTACCTTTCCACAGCTGTATAATACCAAATACAATGGCCAAGATGGAGGAAAAAAAGGTGAAGGGTAAGGCCTAAAGAATGTGAAATGTAAATAAGTTAGGGAGGCAATAAAGTTTGCAGTGTGAAAATACACCATACAGACCAGCCAGCCGAAAAATGCCCATATTGGAGGTATCATAGTGTAAGTAAACCAGGTGAGAGGTGAGAAGAACATTTCAACTTTTCTCGTATCAAATATCATATGAATTTATTTTTCCGATATAAAAGTCATTAGAACGATAGACGTCATGTGACACATCACGGTATGGTATACATTATACAGTAATACTCTTGATCTGATTACTTGTTAACTTAGAAATACTATCGACACTATACGATTGAATCCGCTTAATTTTTTGTAATCCAATTTTGCTAAACAATGTAAATATAGTTTTAGCCTTCTGAGTCTTCTTGCGTAAATTCTCCTTTGTAATACCAGTAAGATGTGGAATAGTTGTATCATATACTTGCCCCCTAGCCGTTTTATCACTACTGTAATCTCCCTAATATTATCTGTGATTTCATTAACACTTTTTTAAAACCTTTTAGCATAATAATACCAATACCAAATTTCTTCTTTATAGGCCTAAGTCACGCGTTTTCAGCTTTAGTCGCTTTTTGATATAATCTAGCCAAACCTTTAGATAACGAACTCTCAGAATCTTCATCTTCCTCATCACTATATTTGATAGTCTCCCTTGATAGTGTTACGGGGAAACGACGATCGACGATATGGCTTAGAAATTGAGAATGACGATCGCGCATTATAGAGGTTGCCAAAA